TGTCCTCTGCAAACTGACTGAGGGAGCACTCAGGGAAGGACCCCACTCACCAACTAAGGTAGTGTTTCTGCTGGTAAACCTCTCCATCCTCACCCCCAAAGGAGATGTTGATGGCGCTGATGCTGTAGGCGCTGCCCAGACCCTCCCCAAAGTAGGCACGGACGATGCTGGATGCAGGCAGGGTCCAGTTGGCTGCTTGGAGGCCCCGCGAGCGGCACCGGATGCTGTCCTCGGGCCTGGGGCTCTGGGAGCCGTACGCTGTCGCCTTCCACTGCAGGAAGCTGAGCACGGAGCTGTCGTTTTGGGATTCGGCTGCCAGGGAGAGCGTCTGGGGGGAGGGAGAGCAACGGGGGGGGGTGTGAAGGCAGGAAAGGGTCTTCATGCTGGGGGGGGGGGGAAGGGGGGGGGCATAGTGGGGAGCAGCAGATCCCCCCAGCCCTCACTCCTGCAGCAGAGGAGCTCACCTCGAAGATGGTGGGGGTGTACTCGTCGTCGATGGAGCGCATCGAGCGCAGCCTCCGCGCCGCCCCCGTCTCCTCCACCGTGGCCACCTCCAACGCGAAGCGGGAGCCGTTGCCCCGTGGAGCCACCCCGGCCAGGACAAACTCCACTTTGGAGCTGTTGGCCGTGTGCAGGAGGCTGGGCAGGGCCTCGTCACGGCCACCGGCCTCGTAGGCTGTCACCTGCAGGGGACACAGGGACAGCGTCATCGCTGGTTGGGATACCACGGAGCACAGTTCCCTCTCTAGAAGGTGTTTTGGACTCAGTATTCCCTGTGCTCGCCCTGCAGCATCCCAGAGCAGGGTGTCACCCCCTCGCTGCCCCGTGGCCTTACCCGAAACGCCAGCCTGCCGCTGGAGAAGCTGCCAGCGGGGTCGGTGGCTGGGACGCCCGTGAGCTCGGCCGTCAGGGCTGTGTGGTTGAGGGTCCCATTGAGGCTGTCCCAGGAGAAGTCGGAGAGGTTGTACACGGGGTAGAAGAGCTCTTCCAGTGCCTTGGCCTCGCTGTACTCAAACACCTGAGGAAGAGGAAGGGGAGAGGGGCCAGGAGTCACAAGCCATGGACACCACCACTGGTGTTCCCCAGGGCTCGGTTTTGGGGCCAGTCCTGTTGAACATCTTGATCAATGATCTGGATGAGGGGATTGAGTGCTCCCTCAGTCAGTTCAACAGATGACACTGAGTTGGTGGCAGTGTTGA